TGTCTGTCTGTCTGTCTGTCTGTCTGTCTGTCGGTATGTCTGTTTGTCAGTCGGGCTCATAGGGTCTATGTCCCCCCGGGTACTGCCGGAACTATAACGGCCAGCGGCAGCGATCCGTGGGCTATAGTACTAGAGCTATGCCGGAACGTACCCTGGGTACGGTCCGGTATACCGGAACGTACCCTGGTAACTATTTGATATGGTTAGGGTTAGGGAGTAGGCGTAGGCGACTCCCTAGACTCGTTAGTGGAGTATGCGAGGTACGGTCCGGCATATTAGATAGTTACAGGGTACGTTCCGGCAGTACCCTGGGGGACATAGACCCTCTCAGCGTTAATTAGCCCGACCAGGCTGTGCGACCGATTGTCTATACAGTTCGGGTATTCTATATAAATATAGGGTTTTCTAACCACTGGCAGCAAGAACCAGTCCGCACCTGCAGCTACAGCACACACGCGGCCATTGACTATATATATACTACATGGCCGCACGGACCACAACTCACTGTTTTCAATCAGTTACAACTCCGGTGTTCCTGCAGGTGACGCCACTTTCTAACTATCGTTGGAATCGCGGAAGACTGCTGAACAAGCTACACCCGCCATTTTTGACAATCGGCCCGCCACAATGCGCGCAAATCACAGAAATTCCTCAAATATACATGCGAAATGATCCTTCGCATGCTACCTATGAAGAAGGCGGCAGGGCCGGCTGCGCTGATTGGCTGTAGCAAGTTTAATGTGCAGACAGGCTGCGCAACTACGCAACTGACTTGCTGGCAGTTGCGGCAGCCAATCAGCGCAGCCGGCCCTGCCGCCTTCTTCATAGGTAGCATGCGAAGGATCATTTCGCATGTATATTTGAGGAATTTCTGTGATTTGATTGCTGCAGGTGCGGACTGGTTCTTGCTGCCAGTGCTTCTAACCGGCGCAAATCCACTTTAGGCACCTTAGGTATCACAAAGTGATGCACAGATTTCTGTGTATCATGAACTGATGCACAGACTTTCCGTATATCAAGGAATGATGCAAAAACCCTAACCCTAACCTTAGGTCATAAAGTATAACCTTAGGTATCACGAAGTGTGTTAGGGTTTGGGTTAGGGTTAGGGCTTTTGCATCATTCTTTGATATATGGAAAGTCTGTGCATCAGTTGATGATACACAGAAATCTGTGCATCAGTTGATGATACACAGAAATCTGTGCATCACTTCGTGATACCTAAGGTGCCTAAAGTGGATTTGCACCCTTCTAACCATAGCAAGACCGTTTCTTGAAGCTACAGTACAGGCTAATGAATGCAGGGCCCTCGCTACCCACTCGCCAATTCGCCAATGGCGAACAAATTAGTAATCTGGCGATTGAAAGTCTTATTTGGCGAAAAAAGTGACGAACGTAATTTTCCCGTAATAAACATGACCCAGCAAATACGATCCTATTTGATCGTCGAAACAGCAACGTTTCTTTTTGCGTGCCGGCACACTCCTGTGTCATTCCCGATTGCAGCTTTTTCCTCGATTCCAGGAAAGTTTTGCTGTCGCTCCCTCATACCAGCGCGGTGCCCACCCCTACATATACAGCAATAACCACACCCACGCGACTGTAACAATCAGTGCATTCGCACCCCGCGCCCTGTACTGCAATCAATGCCGCCCCAGCCAGCAAGCCTGAGCCACGATGTGCACAGCCACGGACGTGGGTAACAGGGGTGTCGCGGGCTGCCTTTTTTTTTCTTTTTTTTTCTTTGGCGTGAATGCGTGAGAATGCGTAGGGCATGCGGGAGCGCGGGAGAATGGGTCCAGATGCGTGAGTCTCCCGCGAAATGCGCAGCGTGAGACTTAGTAGGTCTGCTAACAGAGTAAGATTTAAACTAAAGGGTGAAATTTTATTTTCGGAGTGCATCAAATGCAGTCTAAGACATTCAAATGTTTTAAATTTTGCTGGGGGAGACTCCCAGAACCCCCTCTACCTGTCTCCCCCGCGTCTGCCTGCAGAATCCACATTCGTGCCTACTGCACGCCTTTGAATTCATCATGTGCGTTTTTCCCCAAACTGGGCATTACCACCGTTGTCTAATTTTCCCTCAGAAGAAACCCTGGTGTTTAAAAAAGTCCTGTCTCTACACACGGCACGGCAACGGCGCTGGCAAAAGTTAAATGATTTTTACTACGCGTCTGCGTGCACGTGTGTGTTTGTGCGCGCGTGCGTGCGTGTGCATGCGTGTAGGTGTGTTTGTGTGTACTGTGTGTGAGGTACTGTAAAAAGTAGTAAAACTGATAAGTACTAACTGGGGAATATAGTCAGCTTTTCTGGTTCAATAGCATCCCGAAGTTACAAAAGTAGTAGAGTATATGCATGTGCTGTGAAAACTCTTCTGTAAACTATTAGTATTACTGTAAATAACTATAGTGTGTGTATAGTACTGTCTATACTGTACTGCGTGCGTGCATACGTGCGTGCGCGTGCGTGCGTGCGTATGTGCGTGTGCGTGTGCGTGTGCGTGTGACTGTGTGCGTGTGCGTGTGCGTGTGCGTGTGCGTGTGTGACTGTGTGTGTGTGTGCGTGCGTGCATGCGTGCGTGCGTGCGTGCGTGCGTGCGTGTGCGCTAATTAGGTTATATTACCTTTTTATTCACTATAGTCTATTTATTTATTTATTTATTTATTTATTTATTTATTTAGGCAATTATTCATCATATACAATACATAGCATACTTTTACAATAAATTTTGAATTCATAAAATTGGATAACACCCAAGGATATATACACAAAAAGCATGACGAGCACACTTATTTACATTGTGGTCCTTGTTTTGCTATGCCTTGCTGTTATTAACAAATACACTACTATCAGCACTAACTATTTAAATGTAAAAATTTGTAGTTTTAACCGGTCATACAATGGTACATTCTCATAAGACGATACAAACATTTTCTTATACCTAATTTTAACCGAATTATTTTAGCGAAAGTCATTCTCCTCTGCCGCTAATGTTTCTACCTTTTCCATCAGACATTTCTTAACACGATACTTAAAACTAGAATAAACAGAATTTGTCCTAACTAGCTGTGATAGAGAGAGAGTTCCAAGCTTCAATTGCAGTATAGGTAAAAGAGGTTTTTCCATTAGGCCTACAAGTGTAGAATCTTTTGTCATCCTATGGATGACCACCACAATATTTATATTCCCGGTGTCCATGCAATGGGTGACCGCGTATGCTTGCAGTCTACGTTAGGTGTTGTAGCGGTACACCAGTTAAGCTTTGGTCTACTAGCTATATCAAATGAACTATAAAGACATCCCACTTCTCCAATTTGTCAAATTCTACTAAATACCTTGATCAGAATCTATAATTAATACTCTTTGCCAATTACTTGTATACTTGTTGTTTCTGTATTATTAGATATATGCTTGAGAACATGTTTGTATATTAATTAATTTATAAAATTAAATTTTGCATTGAATTTGAATTTGAATTTGAAATGTCTAACTGTTTAATAACTATAGTATAAGTATCTAAGCTTTTCTTTTTTGTTTTTGATAATAATCATTGTTCAATATAAGTCTTAAAGATGGATTTTTTGTTTGAAGAATTTATTTGTTGAGTGAATTCGAAGTTTGTTTGTTGAATATACTTGTAAAAAATCTTATATAACTGTATGTAATCTGAAACGTTTCCAATGACAGAGTTCAACTATTATTTTTATTTTTTTTTGGCCATTAATAATTTTCTGCAATGTATATAGGAGCTAGCCGCGCTGACTAGAAGACCGCATTAATTGTCATTTCGCCCTCCATCACTTAATTGTATTTATTTTGTATCATGTTATACCTTTCTGCTAAATTTAATTTGTGTAAGTGTAAATAAAGTTTTGAATTGCATTGAATTAAATTGAAAAACTCAAAAACGCAATGCGGTCTGATGCGGTACAGATTACACGTCGAGTAGAGTAAAACTTTTAACCAATTAAAATGCGTAAAGTGTTTCTCGCGTGACGTCATTCCGGGTAAGTTTCCCTCTTGCTTCCTGGAAAATATGGCGATCGTTGTGCGGTTCTGTTCGTGACGTTGTTGAGGTTAGTTTCGTACGGAATTTTATTGCCGTACATGTATTTAATTTTTACGACATTATGTTTGACTACTCAAAACAAAGCCAAAGAGCACACGATAGTTTACGAAAGTATGTGTTTAGTGAATATGCGCATAATTACTCGATTAATTACGCACGAAGGGTCGTTGTCGTAACAGGTACTACAGATATGTACCCGAGGCAGTTTTAGGTTGTTTAGTATTATGTTTATATTTTTATATGAGGTATGTTTAGGGTTAGGGTTAGGGTTAGAGTTAGGGTTAGGGTTAGGGTTAGTGTTAGGGTTAGGGTAAACCGACCAGGCTCTCCGACTAGTTACACGGCCTCTCGCCACGTAGTGTTAAGCGAGATGGGAACTTGTGGCTAGGGTTAGGGTACACTTCTGTAGTACAAGTCTGGTACACTTTGTGTATACATATATGTACCTCGGGTACATATCTGTAGTACCTGTTACGACAACGACCCCTTGAGCATTAATTACCCTTACATCGGTTACATTCATTCACTGTTCCTACAGCTCATACTCATAGGGTCTATGTCCCCCAGGGCCCAAGGATAGAGAACATGGGTCCCAATAAAACCAATGTGCCTAACCCTAACCCTAATCCTAACCCTAACCCTAACCCCTAACTCTAACCATAACTCTAACGCATAACCCTAAAAAAACCACCGCGCGCCCGTACCCTACCCGCCCGCCGCCGCCTACCCCTTACGCCTAGATACAATTAATGCTAACCCAAACAAGCAGGGATAGGGTTTTACAAAAGCCTCCCTATCCTTTGTTGCGGCAGCGAATCGCCCGATGTAATCACTCGGCCGGTTGCTGTGCGTTCAGAGTAGAACCAGCAACTTCCAACACTGGGTTTATTCTCAACACGAACCTTTCTCCGCTATCTGGGAACTTACTATATATCGCAATACTCTGTATATAAACTAATATAACCTGTTACAAGAAATTCGAATGTGACGAGCGGCCGAATATACTGAGCGCCCATTTCTGTTGACCTGGGACGTACGCATTTCCCAATGCGGCATAGCGATCGGCAAACGCAGCGCCCTCCGATTGGTCAGTGAATCCGCTCTTTCAAACGCGAAGTACGGTCACAGGTCAACAGGAAATGCAGCTCGTATATTCGCCGCTCGTCACTTCGAATTTTTGTAACAGGTTATATTACTTAATACAGAGTATTGCGCATACATAGTAAGTTCCCAGATAGCGGAGAAAGGTTCGTGTTGGAGAATAAACCCAGTTTGAAGTTCTAGTCTCTGAAAACGCACCAGCAAACCGGCCGAGTGATTCACTCGGGCATTCCTCCGCACAAAAGGATAGGGAGGCTTTGTAACCCTATCCTCTTGGGTTTGGGTTACATTATTGTATCTAACCTACCCTAACTGCCGGAACGTACCCTGGGTACGGTCCAGTATACCGGAACGTACCCTGGTCACTATTTGATATGGTTAGGGTTAGGATTAGGGTTAGGAAGTAGGCATGGGCGACTCCCTAGACTCGTTAGTGGAGTAGACGAGGTACGGTTCGCATATTAGATAGTACCAGGGTACGTTCCGGTATACCGGACCGTACCCAGAGTACGTTCCGGCAGTACCCCGGGGGACATAGACCCTCTCAGCGTTCCGCCAGGCTACACTACACTACAGCCCATCACCGTTGTCATCATTACGGTATCACCTACTACTACTACTAGTACTAGACTACTACTACTACTAGTACTACTACTACTAGTACTAGACTGCGAGACTGGATTAAATTTACCAAAAAGCTGCAGGTTAATTAGGCTCATAGCGTCTATGTCCCCCATGGTACTGCCGGAACTAGCTCTAGTACTATAGCCCTCGGATCGCTGCCGCAGGGCTATAGTACATTCTGCCCAGTAATGTAATCTATCGACAATGCTCCAAACTGGTCTGACCAAAAATTATCCCCAAAACGCAAAATGATCGGTCCTTTTTAACACGTACTTAAATATTTAACATGGAACTCACTCTTAACTCTCATTCTTTTTGAACACTTCCACAACTTCACACCATGTATTTATGCATTTATTTTATCCCTAAAAGTCTTAGCACTACTGGTGTTTTGTTTTCAAATGCTGTTGCTATGCTTATGTGAAGAAAAATAGACAAAAGACATGGGCAGCTATGATTCAGCCTAGTACATTTCGGGTGACGTCACACGCTGCACACATAACCAGAGCAACCGCATTTGAAAACAAAACACCAGAGTGCTAAGACTTTAGGAATAATGCATAAAATACTATGGTGTAAAGTTGTGGGAGCTGTTCAAAAACAAACACAATAGAGAGATTCCATGTTTAGATAATGTAAAAACGCCGCGAATCATTTATGCGTTTGTTGCGGGATAAAATTTTGGTGCAGACCAGTCTGGAGCATTGATAGATTACATCTATGGCCAGAATGTACTATAGCCCTGCTGCGCAGCGCGATCCGTGGCTATACTACTAGCAGTATGCGGAACGTACCCTGGTACGGTCGGTATACCGCGCGAAAACGTACCGTGGTAAGCGTAGTTTGATATGGTATAGGGTTAGGAGATAGGGTAGGCGACTCCCTAGACTCCAGTTAGTGAGTATGCGAGGTAACGCGTCCGGCAATTTAGATAGTGTACAGCGGTACGTATCGGCACGTACCCTGGGGGGGGACAATAGACCCTCTCAGCCGTTAATTAGCCCGACCAGGCTTGCGGAACCCGATTTGTCTAACAGTTCGCGTATTCCTAATAAATATATGGGGTTTTCTACCACTGGCAAGCAGAACCAGTCGCGCAACCTGACAGCACCGCACACACACGCGGCCATTTGACTTATAAATACTACATGCGCCGCACGGACGCACAACTCACTGTTTCAATTCCAGTTACAACGCACTCGGTGTTCCTGCAGGTGACGCCACTTTCTAACTATCGTGGAATCGCGGAAGACTGCATAACAAGTTACCCGCCATTTTGACACAATCGGCCCGCCACAATGCGCCGCAAATCACGAGAAATTCCTCAAATATACAGCGAAATGACCTTTCGGCATGCTACCTATGAAAGAGGGGCAGGGCTCGGTCTGCGTCTGATTGGCTGTAGCAGTTAATGTGCAGACAGGCTGCGCACTACGCAACTGACGTTGCTGGCAGTTGCGGCAGCCAATCAGCGCAGCCGCGCCTTCCTGCGCTTTCATAGGTAGCATGCGAAGGGATCAGTTGCGCATGTATGGTGTGGATAGAATTTTCTGTGATTTGGATTGCTGCGAGGCTGGCGGACTGGTTCTTCGCTGCCAGTGCTTCTAACGGCCGCCAAATCCAACTTAGGCACCTATAGGTATCACAAGAGTGATCAGCAGATTTCTGTGTATCATGAAATCATGATGCGACAGACTTTCCGTATTATCAAGGAAATGATGCAAAACACCCCTAACGACCTAACGCTTAGGTCATAAAGTATAACCTTTAGTAATCACGAAGGTGTTTAGGGTTTGGTTATGGTTAGGCTTTTGCATCATTCTTTGATATATAGGATAAGTCTGTGCATCAATTGATGATACATCAGAAATACTGTGCATGCGTTGATGATACCACAGAAACTCTGTTGGGCATCAACTTCGTGATACCTAAGGTGCCTAAAGTGGATTGCACGCTTCTAACCATAGCAAGACGTTTCTTGAGAGCTACAGTACAGGCTAATGCATGCAGGGCCCTCGCTACCCGCGCCCCACGCCGCCCGCCGCCCACTCGCACAATTCTCGCCAATGCGACATAATTAGAAATCTGGCGATTGAAAGTCTTATTGGCGAAAAACAATGACGAACGTGAATTTTCCCGTCTAAACATAACCCAGCAAATACGATCTATTTGATCGTCGAAAGCAGGCAACGTTTCTTTTGGCGCTGCGCGGCCACAACTCACCCTGTGTCATTCCCGATTGGCAGCTTTGTTCCTTCGTCATTCCCACGAAAGTTTTGCTGTCGCGTCCTCATACCAGCGCGGTGCCCACCGTTCCCTACATATACAGCAATAACCACACCTGCCTGACGCGATGTCACACGCATCCGCTGCCCTTCGCGACGCCCGGCCGTATGCATCCATCGCCCGCGCACCCGCAACGCCTGCCGCCTGCTGCACACCCCGCGGACGTGGTCAACAGCCCCCGCGTGCTCCCGCCGCGCGCTGTCCTTTTTTTTTCTTTTTTCTTTGGCGTGAAGCGTGAACCGAACCATGCCCGCTCCACCCGCGCATCCGCCCGGCCACGCCGCGGGACAAATGGCGTCGCAGATGCGCGAGTCTCACCCGCGAATCGCAGCCGTCGCACCTTAGTAGGTCTGCTAACGGCGTAAAGACTTTAAACTAACAGGCGTGAAAATTTTATTTCTTCCGGCAGTGGCATCAAATGCAAGTCTAAGACATTCAAATGTTTGAATTTTGCGGGACGACTCCGCAGAACCGCCCTCTACCTGTCTCCCCGCGTCTGCCCTGCAGATCACATTCGTGCCACCTGCACGCCTTCTGAATTAATCATCGTGCGTTTTCCCCAAACTGGGCTACATTACACCGTGTGTCTAATTTTGCCCTCAGAGAAACCACTGGTGTTTAAAAAAGTCCTCGTCTCCTACACACAGGCCACGGCACGCGCTGGCACAAGTTAAATGATTTTTACTACGGCGCTGCGTGCACGTGTGGTTTGTGCGCGCTTCGCGTGCGTGTGCATGCGTGGTAGCTCTGTTGTGTTGACTGTGGTGTGGAGGTACTTCGTAAAAAGTATAAAACCGATAAGTACTAAACTGGGGATACAGTCAGCTTTCTGGTTCAACTAGCATCCCCGGAATGTTTACAGAGGCAGTAGTAGAGTATCATGCATGTGCTGTGAAAACTCCTTCTGTAAATCTAATTAGTATTAACTGTAAATAACCTAATAGTGTGTGTATAGTACTGTCTATACTGTACTGCGTGCGTGCATACGTGCGTGCG